AATATAACAATATAATATAACCACCATTGTTCACATTATCAACAGCAGTAGGTGGCATATAAACACTAGTGTTATAAACACAGCCAGAGAAACACTAACATTATCATAGTGAGAGCCAGAGAAGCAGCACAAGAACTGTTAAAAGCACCAGGAGGCACAGAAGCCACAGCAGCTGCAGGATTAACAAACACGTGGAGTAGTGAAACCAGATGGTTCACACACATGTAAGTGGGTGAAGAGCTTGTGCCAACCATCGCATCTCTATCATATGTCTATTATTATTACCATTAGCATTTGCAAATATACTAATTAGACATGGGTTTGTGAAACGGGGGGCGGGGGCTGCATGACATCTTGTGACAAAGACACACACACAACAATAAGATTGTTGATTTGTGTATCTGTGCATTCTCACAGTTTGGTGTTCCAGGTGCTGTATGTTGTTTGTTTCTAATTCCCTGTGTTTGCGATACATCATGTTGTTCTATTTGTGCTCTATCATCTTATTATGTTTCCTTCTATTTTCTCCTACTGATGGTCCTGCTACACATATAATGCATTAACTGACATCGCACTAATAGAAATCAATAAATAAGCAGATAAAAGAAACACATGAACAAGAGAAGCTTATATTGACGTTGTAGAGCTCATCGTGGAAAAGCAAAGTGTGTTTGGCACAGAGAGCATTCAGATCATAAACCTGTCTGCAAAAGCTGCCTGACAGGAGGTCAACACACACACACACACACACACACACACACACACACACACACACACACACACACACACACACACACACACACACACACACACACATGTGTCTCATCCACCAACACCATCATGCAGCCGCTGCTGCTGCATGATGGTGTTGGTGGATGAGTCATCCACTCCTCAGCACATGACATCATGAATCACTTAACCCCTCTGTAGGCAGGAGAGCTGCAGCCATTATGCTTTTCTCTCTCCTAGTAACAAGGCTAGGCACCTGACAGATTCGCTTTTTTGTATTCTTCTGTTTTTCTTTGTCATCCTATTTATTTCATGAGCTGAAATTCATTCTTTTTCAGGGTAGCCTACATTTTCACCCTTATACTTCAACCTTATATCCCTCCCATCTGTCTGTTTCAGTTACTGGTTCATCCATGCATCACATGGAGCAAACATGAATCAGTTTGTCACACACACGTGTCAGAAAAGGCATCCAGTGTGAAGTCTTTGCTAAATCAAACATGTGGATTCAAAACAGAGTCGTCTATACCAGATCAGTCAGGGTCCAGGTTAACAGTGATGGTCTCCAATGCCATTGCCCAACAGGTTGCTGGTGAAAAGTGCTGCTGTTGGCTGAATACAATATTGACATAGGAAAGGGATGAGGTGTGATAGGAGGCAGTGAGAAAAAAAGAAAAGGCAGGAGTGTGTAGGTGAGAACAGAGACTAAATGACTAGTAGAGGGGGAGTGCAGACTGATGTGATGGAGATGATGGCAAACAAACGATAAGTCAGGCTTCCAGCATTGTAGCCTCCATTTCTACACAACGTTTCTACAGTAGAATAACTGTGGTGATCGCTTTAATGTGTCTTTGGGCTGGTTTTCAACTTTGTTTGTGTTGAATGAATATGGTTCAGAGATGGTGACACTTACCAAAAAACAGAAGGTGGAGAAGGAGGTGAAAGAGCACAACATGTAATTATTTTTATTGGAAAAATTGAATAATGAGGATGGGCAAGATTAAAAATGAGTATATCAGAAGGACATCTCAGGTTGGGACAAGACAAGAGAGGTTTACATTGTTCAACACGTGCAGAGGAGAGACAAATCATGGTAAATCAGAATCAGAAAAACGTTATTGTTCGTTGCAAAGTAATGGAAATTTGTTTTAAACTTGGTTTTCACTGTATAGAAAATAATACAACAACAAAAAACACAATATAAACACAGCATACTGAGATTAATACATAAAAATTATCTCTTTTTTTAAAAACAATATTTTTAGTGCTTTTGCAACCACATACAAAGATTTGTTTTCACAGTAATATGCCGCAGTAGTAAGAACACCCCCCCCCCCCCCCCACACACACACACACACACCCTCACCTCCCATCCCTGCTCTCACCCAAGCATACATCAAATAAAAACACATGAAATGTGCACACATTAGTATATTATGTGGCATTTATACATATTGAAGGAAACAAAAAGAAGGGAAAAAAACCAAAAACAAAATAGAAATAGCCCAAATGTACCCAATGCCCAAACCTGGAACCCTGCGTCCACATTTCCTGGTACAAATAAAGCATTTTTCCAAATAGGACTAAACCGAGAGAGATTATTCTTAATATTCCTCATTTCTTTTACTGTAAACCAAACTTCAATCATGTTTCAGACTATAGGATTATTTGTTTCTTTCTTTAATTGTTTTGGCTGTGCAGAGTATAAGTACAAGTTTAATGGCATTTTAAGAGAATTTGTTTCCATCCCCACCCAAGAAGGGATATTTTGGGATGAAAAATAAAACATTATTGTCCTTAGTTGAATAGCCAGATAATGCCAGTAAAAGTTGGGGGCATTTCAACCCCCCTGTGTCGAAGGGAAGATGCAACAAAGACAAGCAAATGCGGGGACGCTTCTTGTTCTAAATAAACTCTCTGATTACAGTTTTTTCTGAATGCTTAAACCCTAACTGTGATTCCTGTAGCACAATCTCTAAAACTATTCAGACTTATAGCAAAACCACTCACTGAGTTTGCAAAACTAAAAGCACAAAAACTGCTTTGCACTCAGTTTGCAATTTTGTAACACACACTTTGCAAAACTGTAGGCACAATTCACTGCACAACACTCAATTACCAAATTTCCAACACACTCCTAGCAAAAGTATACACATGTATGGCTATCATTAACACTAATTTGCCAACTGTCTGGCACACTTTCACATGTGAAAACTTTTTTAGATAATTAGTTCATTTTGCAATCAGCCTAAGCACTATAATACAGGTAAGCTGTGTGTGCGGAGTACAATGGAGGGAGCAGAAAGAGTGAGAAGTAGAGGAGGCCGAGGAAGAGGACGTGGAGGTGAAGAAGTAGGATGAAGAGGACGACAAGGACAAGGAGGAGCAAGAGGAAGACGAGGAAGGGGGAGAGGAAGATGAGGAGGGGGGAGAGGAAGGGTAGGAAGAGTAAGAAATAGAATTGCTGATGACATCAGAGCTACAATAGTGGACCATGTAATCAACCGTGGAATGACCCTGAGGGTAGCTGGCCAACGGGTCCAGCCTAAACTGAGCCGCTACACTGTAGCAGGCATCATAAGGACATCTTGAAGTGAGAATCGGTTAGTACAGTCACTTCGCACAAAGATTTGTAGCACTGCCGTATGCCAATGAGAAACACACCAATACCATTGATGTAAAAATACTGAAATTGTTACTTTACAGAGTTGCTAGATGACCAGATGCTGGGGCAGAGGAAGCATGTTCACTGCAGACCAAGTAACCCATATAGTCATTATGGCGATTGCAAATAATCCTATACTTGGAAATAAACACTTGTGTTTGTTTTGAAGTGTTTGAATAAACACCAGTACTTGAAGTTTGGATTCCTCTATGCTTATGGATCTATGACAGAAGTAGCTCAAACTGACATAGCCTACCTTGTGCACAGAGAAAGCAAAAGCCAGATGTGTTTTGTATTCATACCATCAGTGTGCAGTTGGCGCATTATGTGCTTAGTAGATGATGGCTTGTGTGTACTGTTTGATACGGAAACACCATTTTTACGAAGGTGTGAAGAGTTAATCTAGCTGTGTTTGCTTTTGCAAGAGAACTACAATGTTTTGATGATTGGGTGACAGGTTTTCTTATTTGTGTGAAGAGTTTTGCAAAATTAGCCAATAGTTACAAAAAATGTGCTTAAGCAATCAGAAAAAACTGTAATGATGCTAGATTGGTAAACAATCCAGTAGGAGGAGCCAGTGGGACATTCTGAAACATTCATTTATTTTAAGACCACTTATCCTTCCAATAACAGATGTTATTATAAACTTATACAACGCTCCAGATCTTTAGAAATTTTCTGTAGAATTGTATTATAGTTAAGAAGCACCACATCTTTTAGTGAAGGAACTATTTTAATGCCTATAAGTGAATTCAGAATTAACAGTAAACCCAGATATATTCTGACTTACGTTTTGACTATACCCTTGTTTAAGTAACATTAATGATGGTTTTGTTACATTTACTTTATACCCTGAGAAGGCCCAAACTGGTCTATTAAATCCTTTTACTGCAGACGCAGAAGTTTTTAGCTTTAAAAATAAAGATTTTTAAAAATAAAATGACATCATCAGCAAATAAAGCAATTCTATGGTCCTGTCTACCAATCTTAACACCTTGTATTTGTCCACTGGTGCTAACACCTATTGCCAAAGGTTCAATAGCTAAAAGGAATAAAGGTGGAGAACCCTGCAGACACCCTCTTTTACAGTTTTTCTCGATTGCTTAAACACTATAACCAGGCCTCTAAACTAAAATTTCAAAACCGTAACGCTACTGTTCAAAAAGCTCACCCATTTCCCTGAACTATAAACACTATTCCCTGCTTTGACACATGACTCAAATTTGGTGAACTGTTACTGCAAAACTCTACACACAAATCCCTACATTTTACAGTGCTTACACCATGTAGTCATTTAGAAAGCACTAGCATGCAATAATGTTAACTTAAGTCAGCATAGCTTGAGCTCAATTAGCACACAATTAACCAGGTGGAAACACTAGGAGTCAAAATTTAGCACACACCAATCAGAACCTGCGATAGATAGATAAAAGGGCCAAAGTCAGCTCATTCAGGTTTGAAACAATGGATCCAAAGAGATGCAAAGGAAGAGGACGTGGTGGAGAAAGAGGACGTGGTGAAGGAGGTGGAGAACGACGGCGACAAGGAAGGGGAAGAGCAAGGGCAAGAAGACAGTCAGTCTCGGATGAAATTCGAGCCACTTTAGTTCACCATGTCCTTGTCCATGGGATGACTATGAGGGAGGCTGGGCAACGAGTACAACCAAATTTGAGTCGCTTCACTGTTGCCTCCATCATCAGAACCTTCAGGGAGGAAAACAGGTAGGTGTACTTGCAGTAAGACTGCTTTGTACAGTAACGTTTAAGTTACTGAACTTATGTGTCTTGAGTTTCAGTATGTTTCCATTATTTGCCTGTAAAATGAATGTGTGACAGTTACAGTAATGAGTGCTTCTATTTTTGTAGGACACAGAGACGACCACCTGGTGGAGGCAGGTTAAGGCTTTTGTCGGAGGAGCAAGAGAGGGAACTTGTAAACATGGTAATTGCAAATAATGTAATCCGCCTGCAAGAGATTCAAAGGAGAGTGATTGAGGATGATCATCTTTTTCGAGGCATAAATGCCATCAGCCTCTCCACAATTGACCGAAAGAATCAATTCCGGATGAAACAGGCATACCGAGTCCCTTTCGAACGAAACTCTGACAGAGTGAAAAACCAACGTGTGGAATATGTTCAGGTATGAGTTTTGATACTGTATAAAGTATTGTGTACCATCACAGCATGGCAGTTTATGCTGCCATTTCAGCACTCTTGAACTGTGGTTCAGGGTACCGATTGACTCTACTGTGTTATGTGTTTTGCAGAGAATCTTTGAGATTGAAGGACGGCCTCTTCCCCATGAAATAATCTTTGTGGATGAGGCAGGTTTTAACCTGACCAAAAGAAGGAAAAGGGGGAGGAACATAATTGGCCATCAGGCTATTGTAAATGTCCCTGGTCAGCGTGGGGGGAATGTCACTATGTGCGCAGCCATCAGCCAACGAGGGGTACTCCACCGCCATGGCGTACTAGGACCCTATAACACTATGCTTCTCCTTGCTTTTCTTGATGGTTTAAGACAACATATGTTCCAGCTGGACTACAGGGAACCAGCACAGCCAGAGCAGCCTCACTACGTTGTTGTGTGGGATAACGTCAGCTTCCATCGCGCTGCTCTGGTTCGTGACTGGTTTACCAATAACCCAAGGTTTTCTAATATCTTTCTGCCTGCATACTCTCCCTTTCTAAACCCGATAGAGGAGTTATTTTCGGCATGTCGGTGGAAAGTGTATGACCGAGAACCTTATGTCCGTGTTCACCTCCTTCAGGCCATGGAAGAGGCCTGCCTAGACATATCAGTAGATGCATGCCAGGGGTGGATCAGGCATGCAAGAGGATTTTACCCCCGCTGCCTGGCTGGGGCCAATATAGCCTGTGATGTGGATGAGATTCTCTGGCCTGACCCAGACCAAAGACAAGATGCTGAGGTGGGATAATGTTTCTGGTGTGTGTTGTACTGTATAGTACATGAATGACAATGTGCCACTGTACATACATTGGTTGCGTCTTTTGTGTTTATCATGTGACAAGGGTTTTGAAGGGGAGAACCATAAGCAACCTATTTGTTTTGGAGCTATTGTTTTGAATTAATTGTACCAGTGTGCAAAACTCTGTTGTAGTGTGTGTGTTTTTGAGGGCTTGTGTTTGATGTCTGAGGGCAAAGTTTGGTTTTTCAGCAGGAGTGAATAGTTTTGGGTGTAGAGCTTCATTTTGACCTGGAAATAGGATGTTTGGGAAATTGAGTGAGATGTTATGGATTTGTGTTTACTGTTGTGAGGATATGAGGCGTAGTTTCAAGAAATGTGTTTTAGCAATCGAGAAAAACTGTAATGTCAAATGGTTCAGAAATTATCTCATTAGTTAGAACCTGAGCAACAGAATGACAGCTTGATCCAATGCAAAAATGATTTACCAAACCCAAATCTAACAATGACATCAAAGAGATATGGCCATTTGATTCTATCAAAATCTTTCTCCATGTCAAGCGAGGGAATGGCTGTATCTTCCTGTTCACTTTGATTATGAAGAACGTTGAGGACTCGTCTTACATTATGAAAACCCTGCCTATATTTAACAAATCCATTTTGATTCAATTCAATTTTATTTATATAGCGTCAAATCACAGCAACGGTCGCCTCAACAATCATATGACCCCCTATGAGCAAGCACTTTGGCGACAGTGGGAAGGAAAAACTCCCTTTTAACAGGAAGAAACCTCCGGCAGAACCAGGCTCAGGGAGGGGCGGGGCCATCTGCTGCGACCGGTTGGGGTGAGAGAAGGAAGACAGGATAAAAGACATGCTGTGGAAGAGAGACAGAGGTTAATAACAGACATGATTCAATGCAGAGAGGTCTGTTACAGTTTTTTCTGATTGCTTAAGCACATTTTTTGTAAGTATTGGCTAATTTTGCAAAACTCTTCACACAAATAAGAAAATCTGTCACCCAATAATCAAAACATTGTAGTTCTCTTGCAAAAGCAAACACAGCTAGATTAACTCTTCACACCTTCGTAAAAATGGTGTTTCCGTATCAAACAGTACACACAAGCCATCATCTACTAAGCACACAATGCGCCAACTGCACACTGATGGTATGAATACAAAACACATCTGGCCTTTGCTTTCTCTGTGCACAAGGTAGGCTATGTCAGTTTGAGCTCATACTTCTGTCATAGATCCATAAGCATAGAGGGATCCAAACTTCAAGTACTGGTGTTTATTCAAACACATCAAAACAAACACAAGTGTTTATTTCCAAGTATAGGATTATTTGCAATCGCCATAATGACTATATGGGTTACTTGGTCTGCAGTGAACATGCTTCCTCTGCCCCAGCATCTGGTCATCTAGCAACTCTGTAAAGTAACAATTTCAGTATTTTTACATCAATGGTATTGGTGTGTTTCTCATTGGCATACGGCAGTGCTACAAATCTTTGTGCGAAGTGACTGTACTAACCGATTCTCATTTCAAGATGTCCTTATGGTACTTGCTACAGTGTAGCGGCTCGAGTTAGGCTGGACCCGTTGGCCAGCTACCCTCAGGGTCATTCCACGGTTGATTACATGGTCCACTATTGTAGCTCTGATGTCATCAGCAATTCTATTTCTTACTCTTCCTACCCTTCCTCTCCCCCCTTCTCGTCTTCCTCTTGCTCCTCCTTGTCCTTGTCGTCCTCTTCATCCTACTTCTTCACCTCCACGTCCTCTTCCTCGGCTTCCTCTACTTCTCACTCTTTCTGCTCCCACCATTGTACTCCGCACACACAGCTTACCTGTATTACAGTTTTTTACAGTCGCTAACAAGCGCCTACCCATACTTCAGATACTTTTTCTAAACTCTTAACACAGACCCACACCTACAAAACACAATTGGCCAAATGGATAATATCCTTCCCAAAAATACACTTCGTTAAATATATACTAACTCCTCATTTCAAAATTAGAACACATCTTTCTCTGCACACACTAACTGTACAAAAACACTATAAATCTGACTCAAAATGAAATTAGTCTGTCAAAGAATAACACTTGTTTTCACTTCACAAGGTACATGCAGTCAATCAAAGTACACCAGGTTTCAAAATACTGGCTATTATTGACATTACAAAAACTGCATAGACTTTTATGTTTCAGTTTCACAGGTATTTGCATGCGAAACATGCAATCCACCATATTGACACCAGAAATGTCTTGGTTGGTAACTGTATGTCCACATGTACAGTAATGTTCACATTCAAAAGCATTCCAGTAAAAAGCAAACAAGTTTTTGTTTCTTTACTGTTTACCACAGGAGGTACAGTAGAAACACGGTATGATAGGACAGAGAAAGTTTTACAGTATTGCTTACAGTGAACAAAATATCCATGAAACACACAAGAGCATTCTGAACAAAAAAACAACAGCAAAAAGCCAAGATAAAAAGGGGGGGGAGGGGGAGGGGGGCTAAAAAAAGGCAAAAGATTTGCATCTAATCTCTGCGATCTTCAGGGTTAGGCCACATGTTTTCATCAACATCACATCTGATGTTATCCAAGTCGATGCACCTGGGATAAAACCGCCTGGTATGTCGGATCCACCGACATATCATTGCAGAAGCAGAGGTTTTTATACTGTATCTAAGGTTTGGAATATTGTTTTTGCTATTGTGGGATGTTGTGTGTTAACATTCGTAGATACTACAAGAACAGTCCATAGTTTTGTTGGGAGGTATAACTTGTCTGTTAAGAAAATGTAAGCATTGTGGAAATGTGTTCACTGACTGCATATTGGGTGAACACGACATGAAATGTGTGAATGGTATGGCCACAACAGACCGATCCTGTGCTAATTGTGTTTAGAGTTTTGCAAATGTGACAACTGTTTGGACAAACGCTTGTTAGCGACTGTAAAAAACTGTATAGTGCTTAGGCTGATTGCAAAGTGAACTAATTATCTAAAAAAGTTTTCACATGTGAAAGTGTGCCAGACAGTTGGCAAATTAGTGTTAATGATAGCCATACATGTGTATACTTTTGCTAGGAGTGTGTTGGAAATTTGGTAATTGAGTGTTGTGCAGTGAATTGTGCCTACAGTTTTGCAAAGTGTGTGTTACAAAATTGCAAACTGAGTGCAAAGCAGTTTTTGTGCTTTTAGTTTTGCAAACTCAGTGAGTGGTTTTGCTATAAGTCTGAATAGTTTTAGAGATTGTGCTACAGGAATCACAGTTAGGGTTTAAGCATTCAGAAAAAACTGTAACACATAGTGAGTGAGAAAGGTGACTGGAAAGGAAAAACTCAATGCATCATGGGAATCCCCCGGCAGCCTACATTTATTGCAGCATAACTAAGGGAGGATTCAGGGTCACCTGGTCCAGCCCTAACTATATGCTTTAGCAAAAAGGAAAGTTTTAAGCCTAATCTTGAAAGTAGAGATAGTGTCTGTCTCCTGAATCCAAACTGGAAGCTGGTTCCACAGAAGAGGGGCCTGAAAACTGAAGGCTCTGCCTCCCATTCTACTTTTAAATACTCTAGGAACAACAAGTAGGCCTGCAGAGCGAGAGCGAAGCGCTCTAATAGGGTGATATGGTACTACAAGGTCATTAAGATAAGATGGGGCCTGATTATTTAAGACCTTGTATGTGAGGAGCAGGATTTTGAATTCTGGATTTAACAGGAAGCCAATGAAGGGAAGCCAAAACAGGAGAAATCTGCTCTCTCTTTCTAGTCCCTGTCAGGACTCTTGCTGCAGCATTTTGGATTAGCTGAAGGCTTTTTGAACATCCTGATAATAATGAATTACAGTAGTCCAGCCTGGAAGTAATAAATGCATGAACTAGTTTTTCAGCGTCACTCTGAGACAGGATATTTCTAACTTTAGAGATGTTGCACAAATGGAAGAACGCAGTCTTACATATTTGTTTAATATGTGCGTTGAAGGACATGTCCTGGTCAAAAATGACTCCAAGGTTCCTCACAGCGTTACTGGAGGCCACGGTAATGCCATCCAGAGTAAGAATCTGGTTAGAGACCATATTTCTAAGATTTTCAGGGCCGAGTACAATAACCTCAGTTTGATCTGAATTAAGAAGCAGAAATTTAGCGGCCGTCCAGGTCTTTATGTCTTTAAGACATTCCTGCAGTTTAACTCATTGGTGTGTGTTATCTGGCTTCATGGACAGATAGAGCTGGGTGTCATCAGCATAGCAGTGAAAATGTATGCTATGTCTTCTAATGATGCTGCCTAAGGGAAGCATGTATAATGTAAACAGAATGTATGGTCGACAGTAACGAACGCTGCACTGAGGTCTAGCAGGACAAGCACAGAGACGAGTCCACTGTTAGAGGCGCTGATCGTTTGGAGAAAGTAATTATTGAAGTGAGCTAAGAAAGATCAGTTGGAGAATCTAATAGGAGAGTCTAAATAAATATCAGCAGCCCTGAAATGAGTCACTTTTTTCGCTAATGGTTAACATTTTATTTGTGACAAAATTCATGAAGTTATTGCTGGTTAAGGTTAAAGGAATGTTTGGCTCAACGGAGCTCTGACTTTTTGTCAGCCTGGTTATCGTGCTGGAAAAAAAAACTATACTGGATTAGTTAGTTTTACTTTTACTCCCTACATTTTTAACCAAACATCTGTACTTTCTACTCCTTATATTTTCAATGCTCCTAACTTTTTGTTTGAAGCATTTCAGTTGTTATTTCACGTCACATTGGTCCTTCATCAACATCAAACCAATCTGAACCTGTAACTCATGAAAAGCAATCCTTTTTGTGTATTAATGACCAGCAGATGTGGCATAAAAAGAGGTAAAAAACAAAATAAACAAACAGGCAAAACTATCAGGGGTTAAAGTGGATGATTTTTTGGTTTGTTTGTTTGTTTGTTAGCTCTCAGTAGAAATAATCGTGATGTGATTAATTTCCTCATGATGAATTTTTAAAAACAGATGTTCCTTCCTTTTCTTTGTTCTACTTAGTTGACTCAAGCCGAGTGCATTTACTAGAATTAAAATTTAGACTAAATTAAATTTTGTATTCCCATCTACAAATTTTATTATTGCACAAGGTTCACTTTGCACAGCTGGTAGAGATATCCTCAAAAGAGCTACATTTTCACTTTTACTTGAGTAAAGAAGTTGAATCAGTACTTCAACTTTTACTAGAGTATTTGTCAACAGTAGTATGTGTAGTTCTATTTAAGTCTGTACTTTTGCTACCTCTGCTGAGGATCCACAGTATCCACACTCATACGCAGTGAAGATGTAAAACCATTAACAAGATAATCATATACACAAGATGATGGATGCAATTGAAGAAAAGAAAAGTGGAGGAATTAAAAGTAAGCACTTTCTGAAAGGTGTCTACCGTAATGAAATGAATTCCTCACTGCTGTATAATCCATAATTGTAAATGTGAATGGTATTAGGAAATGACCGGGCAAAAGAGGATCTTTGGAGAATATTGTTAGATGTTCAGGTTTTATGCCATTTGTCAGAATAGGTCTAGAGTGTGAATAACGTGGTGGATGGTTTCTTTTACACATTTAAAAAATTCAGTTGAGTCTAATATTGGAAATAGATATAAAATGTATTTAATCCCACACTGAGGGAAATTAGATAAAAAGTCAGAGAAATCAGAGTAAGGTCCAGGTGGATGATAGATAACAGCAGCAAAAGAACTGGCTTTTGAGTTTTCAGGTTTGGTTGAAAAATGCATCAGGCTTTCAAAACTCTGTCTGGTCTTTAGTGTGGAAGATTGCTGCCACACCCCCTCCTCGGCCTGTGCTTCGAGGATTCAGACAGTTAGTGTTTATTCATTATCACTTATGTTAGAGTTTGTATTGTTGATTGTCATTTATGCTTAGAAATATTTAACCATATATGCTTAGAGGTGTATAATCACTTGTGTAGTGATAGGATGTGTGATCTTTAGCAGGCCGCAAAGGCTTGGTGTGCATTCCAGGAATGCACACCTACATCCTGGGAGCATGGGAGAGGTCGTACCTTGTTTAATTGTGTTATGGTAGGATTAACGTAGCTACGTCTGTTCTAGTCTAAGTGCTTTTTGTGTATAAATGAACTGCTGGACTTCCTTACTGTGTTATCTAGGATGAGGGGGGGTCTACCCTCTTCCTGACCAAGGATGTTTGCTTGTGTGCTTTTATGACCCTTTGATCAGCAGTACCTCACACACACACACACACACACACACACACACACACACACACACACACACACACACACACACACACACGGGCAAGGTACTCTTTGTGTGTATGTAGACGTCATATGTTAATGAACCTATGCATATTCATGTAACCTAAGGACAGGACAGTGGTACGGGAGAACGGAGGAGAGCAACTGGGGCCAAGCGAAGGAACGGCGTTTGTCCGGTTCTCTCCCGTGCACGAGTAACATGAAGAAGCTTGCCTATCCATCTCCATAAAACCTCTCTTGACATGTCTAGATGACATTAAAGCTTGGTTGGCTCGAAACTTTTTAAATTTTAATAAAAAGAAAACAGAAGTGTTGGTGTTTGGACCCAGTGGTCCCTGTGAGTCCTCCTCTGTTGTTTTAGGATCCCTGGAAGTCTATTTTAAATCTGTTGTTACTGACCTTGGTTTTAAGTTGGACAGTGATTTTAAATTGGACAACCAAATCAGAGCAGTGGTGAAGTCCAGTTTTTATCATTTAAGGCGACTGGCAAGACTAAAATCTTTTCTTTCGAGGCAGCACCTTGAAACAGTGATCCATGCTTTTATTTCTTCCCGCCTGGACTACTGTAACTCACTTTATGTGGGGGTCAGTCAGTCATTGCTCTCACGTCTGCAGCTGGTTCAAAATGCGGCTGCACGACTCCTAACAGGAACTCGAAAAAGAGAGCATATAACCCCCGTGCTGGCCTCTCTGCACTGGCTGCCTGTGTCTTTTAGAGTTAATTTTAAAATTCTTATGTTTGTTTTTAAATGCCTACACAGTCTTGCCCCGCCTTACCTCTCTGAGCTTCTTCATCCCCACATACCCTGTCGGTCTCTCAGGTCAGCTGACCAGCTGCTCCTGGAGGTACCGAGATCCAGGAGGAAGCTCAGAGGGGACAGGGCCTTCTCTATTGTGGCTCCAAGATTATGGAATAATTTGCCCATGCATGTTAGAGAGGCCCCTTCACTGTCCACTTTTAAATCACGTCTTAAAACCCACTTTTATTCCTTGGCTTTTAACCTCAGTGAGACTTAGTTTCTTTTTTAATGCAGTAGTTATTTAATTAATGATTTCACTCTTCTTTTATTTGTTTTTTATTTATATCTCATGTAATTTTATTTTACAGTTCCAATGTACAGCACTTTGTGTCAGCTGTGGTTGTTTTAAAGTGCTTTATAAATAAAGTTGATGATGATGATGATTTGTGTCTTGCTTTGCGGTGTAATCATATTGCCTTCAACGTTCCAGCGAATAGGTTTATGCTACAAACCTATCAACTTACATAATCATCCTGATGTAAACAGGTTTCTGTAAGGTAGAATAATCAGCATGTTGATCAATTATTAATTCATGTACTAACAGGGACTTAGAAGACAGAGAGACTTGCACTGTTTTACTCGTTAGTGCAGTATGTTGTTATATTGTTTTTCCTTTCATTTTCTGTGGATTTTTGTTTTTTGGTGGTCGGGGACCAGACACAGTCTCTAAGGGGATGGGGATTTGGGGGACAACAGGAGGAGAGAAACTGCAAAGAAATTTGTAAGACTGCAACCCTGCTTCCTGCTCCAGAAGGTTACAGAAATAAGAGCTGCTCCATCCAAAGTGGATGGATGCCATCTCTCCTAACAAGACCAGGTGCTCCCCTGAAAATTTCCATAGCAGGCGATAGCTTCAGTGTTGCCTGCTCTGGCCCATGCAAGACAATTCACTACGGTTGCTGGTGTCTCTGTCTTCACGTCTCAAAACAGAATTGGTAATATCCAGTTTTTTCCAGAGCAGAGTAGCTGGTGTGGAGTGGTTGGTCATGCACTCACAGAAGATTGTCGTGGGGGCTCTTGTCAGGCCTGCATCGGCTAATCCACAGTGTTACTTGTGTGGGTTTTTTCACATAGTTGGGCCCCAATGAGACCCTGGACAAGCACATTCTCTTGGGGCTACATAGGATAAGTGTAGGTTTTCCCAGCCTCAAAGTCCATCCATATATGCATACTGCTGGCCCGCACAGACATGTATGTTGGGAAGTAAGACTGCAGTTCTCTATTGAGCTGCTCATGATTATGATCATACTTCAACCAAATTGGACTGGCACAAATATGGTCCAAGCGAGCACAGTACATCATGCATTCTGGTAGCAGCCCGAGAATGATCTTTACCGTCCTGGTTGAGCAGTTTATTGAATCTAGCACTCTTTTCAAGACTGAGAACACTGATGAATACACAAAGGCAGTCAGTCAGGCACTCAGCAAACAGACAGTAGGGAAAAGCCTATACTGATAATCACTGTCGTGATGTGACAACTGCAAGCTCACCATCAGAAGTGTTCAGCTTTACTTTGGTCACCAAAGTCACACATGTTGCCGACCAAAGTGTCCAGGTTCGATGAGATGACGACTTTGCTGTTGCTGTCTCTCTCTCACAGTCTCTTTGTGTCCAAAATGAAACATTTTTTTTAATAAAAATATTTTTCTTTATTTCTTTATGTGTAGTAAAATAGTAATTGACATGGACATTTACATCCAGCAAACACATATTTATTACAGCGGTTACAATGAGTTACATCTAGAAAGAGCGTTGGTAACACTCATTGCATACATGACGCAAACAGTTAGTAGTAGGTACACTGACGTTTTTGTTTCATTCATCTTTAAGATTTTTTTATACTTTTTTCATTGATGCATAAATGTCTTTAAAAAAAGTTGTTTTTCAGATGCAAGTATACATAAACGTGCAGACATTGTACCCTCTACTGTGTCTCAGCCCCTTTCTTTATTAATAAGCCAAAAAGAAAAGCATAAAAAAAGCAACAAATCATTAAAAATGACAAAAGTTCAGTTCATTCTTTTTGTTACTCGTAGCTCATGGTTACTTTTTTCTATGACACTTTCAATGCCAAGATGCTGTGCTGATACCTTGATGATGACAAAGATGAACACCAACAAGCCAAAGTGGAAAACCTCTTTTCGATTGGAAAAATAGAAAAAGTAGCAAAAGAAAGTTTTTATTGATGAATTATTATTAGTATCCATGTGAAAACGAAAATCAGGCTGTACAAAGTTTCTTTTTGTGTCATTGTCATTGAAAAATGTTTGGAAATGTGGAGCAAACATAAACATGAGCAAACTGTTAAGATGGTGAGAACATTTGCATTATGCACTTTAGTCTGACTGACCACACAAAGTGCTTCACACCAAACCTTACCATTTTACTCTGTTCTTGCATTGCTTTATTCCCTACACGTACACATTTGATCTGCATTTGACCTGCCTTGCATTCGTACTTTGGCAAATTTAGAACCAGTACATGTATCATGTATGTTTTTCATTGTGGGATTCTCACTAATTAGGAGATTTGAAACTAGAGCCTTCTTGATATGAGGTGAAGGGATGTTACTAAACACTGAACCACCATTACAGGAGAGTTTTCCTATAATCAACATTTGGATAATGGGAAAAATGGGAAAAATAAGCCGAATTAAAACTGAATTTAAAAATGACAAATTAAAAAAAGAACGAATAAAATAAAAGTTTAAAAAAAATGTGTGAAACTGGGATTTCAGAGCACTTAGTGCCAACAACACTTCTTGTAAAATAGAAACTTGTAACATTTACTAAAAAACTACAAAGGCCATCTTGCTTAGAAAAGTAATGTATTAAATGCAGAACTGCTGCTTCTAAGGAATCTGTTGAGAGTGACTGAAAATGTAGAATTATTCTTTTGCTTTTAAATATCTCCATGAAAAGATCAGTATGGCTCCACCATTACATCCTCCTCCAATAGCAGGACGTGTAAAACACTGGACTGTTTTCTAGCCAGGGTTTGGCTGAATTTGTTATCACCGTAGCAACAAGGTTGTTGAAGTTATGCAAAAGAATGAGTCATCCAAGCTATTATATTGGTGGTAGTCTGGCTTTTTGATGCATTATGTTTTATTATAAAGAGCTTTGGTGGATATGTGTGAGTATACATTCACAGAAACGTGCTTTCCATCAAAAATTTATCCTTTTATATGAACAATAAAAAACTGATACATTTACATAAACATGTGGTCATTTAAAAGATAATTATAGGGAGTGGCTTTTGATTTCTAAGAGGTGATAGTGAAAGAATGTATGGACACCCTACCTTTGGGGGCTATTTCCTTCCACTGAGGGGGGACTTTTGGTATCTTTTGGCCAGGCATAATTTTGAGGAAACTATTTTAATTTGATAATTTTCAAATTTTAATGCCAAAACTATCATTCCTGACAGTAGAGCCAACATGGGAATAAATGTTTTCAAATTCATCTGACTGATTCTGAAAAAGGCCTTCGGTACAGGTAACAGCATATTTAAACATCCTCCTTTGTTGGCATTTTAAAATGTCCATATAGAGAATGTTGTCAAGAAAAGTTAAAGGATAGCAAAGGAAATGAGTGCAGTTGTACATCTTTCATCCGTTTTATCCAGACCACCTCTGGGGAAAAGTCTTCTGTGGTGTCCTTGTCTCAATCATAACCAATCAAAATGATTACAGGAAACTTATTACATATGAAAAACCACCTAAATACTTTAACATAAATAAATACACTCTTTTCTGCTTGTGGCTCTTCTTCTTCTCGTCCTTCTTCTCATGTCTGTACTCAGTCCATCATGTATGGCTTCTTCATGGATATCTGCTGTATGTATTTCTCCAGATCATCATAGTTACTGTCTGGCTGCTTTCCAGCCACATAATAATCTGCAGGCGCTGGGGCCGAGTAATACAGCTGCTTCTGCTGAGAATGGATTCTGGGAAGTGGATGTAGTTTGGGGTTGGACGCTGGCTGAAATGTCCAAGGGTACAAAGAGAGAGGATATCTGGTGTAGTAAGACTTCTGCTGTTGGCCTGTAGGGGGTTTTCTCAGCTTAGGTTGGACCCAGCTGTTGTATCGCCTTTTGGGAGAAAAAGCATAAACATCATCCACTGAATGAGTGAGGAAGTTGTTGAGAGTGAGAGCGGGCTTAAGGATCAAGTAATAGGGTTTAAGTCTGGGTGCAGGAGGAACATAGATGGGGTAGCCTTTGTAGGGCTTCTTCTGGTAGTAGGAAGGATAAGTGTGGGGGAAAAGGGGATAGTGAGGATATCTAGTCCAAGCAGCTTTAGGTGACGTGAGCCAGAGGTCCTGTTTGATCGGCACAGGAGGCTGGGCCCAGATATTTTGATTGCCAAGCTGAGGTTTTGCAGGTTTGTTCCAGAGATCCTCTGATCTTGTTGGATTTTTCTTCTGCAACCAAGTTTTGAGGAAATGAGCTGCTGGAAATGGTTGGTTAGAGGTGGGAATGTCATTTTGATTGCTTGAAATCTGTGATTCCGATGAAAATGGTGAAGATATGGGGGATAAAGGTCGTCGCCAACCTGATATCACGTCAGGCGACAAGTCTTTCTTCTTCTTCTTCTCCACGTCACTGATGATGTCCACCACATCATCAGCAGGGAGGTGGAGCTTGCTGGAGATCTCTATAAGCTTGTCAATGGTCTGAGGATCAATATCGTCTTCCTCTGTGACTTCCTGTTCTTCGTCAGACCTTTTATCCTCTGCAGCGCTGGAGAGAGAAGAGCTGTACTGCTTGTTCCCGTTATTCTGTTTGACCATGTACCGCAGCAGCATGTCTGAGGCAATATCAGCTAGCATCTCCTCCTCCATCTTGGCTCTTTGTGCCTCAGCTGCCTGTCTCCTCATCTCCTCCTGCTCACCTTTGGCCTGAGCCTCCTCTTCCTCTGGACTCAACACCTCCTCATCTTCTTCCTCCTCCTCGTCTGGATCATCATCTTCCATCGTCTGTTCTCTTGGAGCCTGGAGGTCTGCTGAGTTATGATTACTGTCATCAAATTCATCCATAAAATTATCTCCTCTGAACTTTGGGAAGCTGAGAGCTTTCTGCGTCTCTTCTTGCCATTTAAGCTTTTTCTTAGTGATAGCAAGGTCACTGCCTTTATTTATGGGCATGATGTCGTTGTAGCTGTAGTCTCTGCTTTCTCTGTGACTTTGCTCAGAGTCTCCTTCCCTCTTAATGGGCACATTCAAAGCAGGGAATTCCTTCATCATCATCTCAAGACTTTTTAGCTCCTCAGGGCTGAGCTGTTCCTCCTCCTCACTACTGGCTTGATCAGGGCTGGTTGATCCCTGCTGGGAACCAGTACTCTGTCCATTATCGCCTCTTCCATCTGAGCCAGTGGGAGGCTTCTCTCTTGCTATTTCGACTGTGTGGCTTGTAGTACGACTGGTCACCCTCTCGGTCAGCTCCTCTTCTTTTTGTGCTTTCTTCCTCTCTTCCTCTTCCCCCGTTTCCTGCTCCTTCCCCTGTGTCGCCATTAGCAGCTCTAACTCTTGTCGTCCGTCTCTGTCTCGGTCTGCTCCCTCAATCGTTCTCAATTTTCTGTACGAATCTTTGTTTTTATATTCCTCTTTCTCTGCCGTCATCTCTTCTTCCATTCCATCACGCCCCTCTCCTTCGCTCATTTGCTCTGCTTTTGAATTATTCAGTGCCTCTAGTAAAACTGCTGCTAGTTTTTTGGGATCAACATTTTTAAAAAGCTCTTCTTCATGCTCTGCTTCCTCTTGTCTCTGCATTGGCTGGCTTTCTTCACCACCTATATTCCTATATCCAGACAGAGTCAGCCCTGACATATGTTGGTATGGCTTGTCAAGGGTGCTGAGAGGATTGGAGGTGGACAGATGGAGAAAGGATGCTGCTGTCAGAAGAAGCAGCCGTATTAAAGCACTTGAGGGATTATGGTATCTAGTCATGGCTAGCCAGAACAGGACTTTCTGTGAGCGGTGAAGGAGATCAGAAATCCCTGGAAAAGAGAAGAAACAGAATCAAATCTTCACTGAGAATGCAAGGATGTATATGTGGGTTTGATGAGTGAATGAGTGAGTACCACATATGACGGCTAAAGCTTGTTTTCTATCTGCAGTTAATCACAACTTTTAGTGTAACCATGACCGTTTCTTCTCCTGGTGCTTGACTAGCCATTCCACTCCTATCACACATATTGCTCCCATGAAAAGATATTCTAAAAAATGCATACTGTGTTTACACTTTAGTAAACCTTTTGTCCCGTTTCATTTTATGAATTTGAAATTAATCTCATTAAATCTGTTACTTTTATTAGATGTCACCAAAAGTTTTGGGAGCTGACACGTAGGGATGGAAACTGATGAGAGCTGAGTGATGCAGATTCCATTGTCAATATCACTTATCAGTTATCGATTCTTGTTGGAGCTATTTATTCTTTTTTTATTACTTTGAAGTTTGCTAGGGGTTGTTGTTGATTTACATATATTTTTGGGTTATTCACAAGTTTTATTTGTAGGTTTATACTTCTTTTATTGTTTTGTTTTGTTGTTTGTTTTGTTAAGTCAGCCAGGAGGAACTGTAGGGCCATTTCCTTTAAATGAAGGCACTGGTAAGTGCACGTGGAACTGATAGGTGAGCAAATTTGACGAATCCAAGGAACTGAACATCTCGAGTCCCATCCCTACTCCTAGAGTTGTTCACAAAAAAGAGTTGTAACATAAGTTATAACACACAGGGACCTGAAGTGAACCTGAGAGTTAAAACAATGAAAGTGTCCATTGTCTGCACTTTTCATGATTTACATTTTGCTCTTTGAAGTTTTTTTTAAATTCTCCTGTTCTGGTGAACTCTGATATTGTTCCCTGCTCTCTTCTGGCCCACTTGCTAACAATCAACCTTCTTCAGAAGTCCAGCTCCAGTGACAAGCAGTAAGGATCTTGGAGGACTGCACATCTCCTGAAGGTAAAAACCTTTCTCCACCCGCATCCAACCGAATTGTAGAGTTGGGCGGATTGATCCAAATATCGATAGCATCGATACCAGATCGATACTAGCACGATTGGATCAATACTTTGCTTTTATCCTTCAAGTTCAGTATGTGGCCCGCTTAACTGTGTTAATCATTTCTTTGGAAAAACTAAACCTCAAACACGCACTCTGAAAAACGTGCAAACTTTCTGTGCTTTAGATTCAGAATTTTTTTAATTCCAGGTCTCCAAAACCCAAGTTTGAAAACATGAAAAGCTGAAAGGTGTGTTTTGTTGTGTCAGCTAATTATTGTGGAAAGTAACAATCACAGTGGTGATTAAAATGTGTTCAGAATTTGCAAATTGAGAAATCATCTCATAAGTCATGGCAAACTATTCTCCCCCAATTAGCTGCTGAGTAACTTCAGCAATACTGGCCCTGTATTTGCTTTGTATTGGATCGATACCAAAATTTGTAGTGTGGCACAGAAATTCTGTGAATGAGGGAAAGTGTGAACGTGAAATTATGTGACGCTATAATTTGAAATACAATAACACATGAATAACACACAAATCCTGCGTGAAGCAGCCCAGACGAGGTCCTGACAGACATTGACTGATGCGCGCGCACACGCGCACACGCGCGCGCGCACACACACACACACACACACACACACACACACACACACACACACACAGGGAAATAGGAAAGTGGAGACAGAACACAAAACAAACAGAAAACAGAAGCTCGCGCAGTGAGGACTGAGGGACGTGACGCTGTGCTCTAGCACTAGAGCAATGTTTCCGTGCAACACTAAGAGCACAGCTGGTTTTCACTTTCTGCGTTTTCGCGCGCGCGCATGCGTGTGTACCTGAATCTAGTGTAGGAGTAACTAACCAAGGTAGTTATAGTTAACTAAACCGGGCAGAGGAGGCGTGGGTTTTCACGCACGCAAGACGCGCTACCTGCAGTCCTCGAAGATCCTAACTGCGCGTCGCTGGAAGCGGATGATATGTGACTGCTGAATGTTGATTGGTTGACAAGTGGGCCGGAATAGAGCAGCGAGCGATAGCAGAAGCAGAAAAATAGTGAAAAAACGTAAAACACGATCAAATAAATCATCTCTCAATGTCGCTGCTGCTGACGCGCTGCTCTGCTTGGTGCTGCAATGTTGAACCCAGAGTGCAACAAGTGAAATATCTTGAAATCCGCAACAACCAAACCGGTGCGCATTCACTGCCATGCCGTCTTGGGAACGGGTAAGACGTTTATCACACCGAGTCGTTTACACCATCAGAAAAAGCTGCTCTTGTTTTCAGAAGCCACCGCCTGCCTGCATCGCCATGTGCCACATGCAGCAGTTAAACACTGTAAAAATGCGCAGGAACAGCAAACTCAAATGTATTTTCTAAGAATACCTAAACAACCAGTTGTACGGTGAGATTTTTTTATCCCTATTAAAGCAAAACAATTCAAGTTTAATGTCATTTCGTTCTCAGCTAATTACCACAAACCTTTTTGTTTGTTAAATCACCCAACAGTTCTATCAGTATATTAGTAAATAGTTGCTAAAATCCTTTTGTTTTTAGTTGCAGTAAACACACTTCGGAGATATAGGAACAGCATATCCTGCGGTGGAGGCTGGGCTGTGCCAAAAAAGGGATTTCACATGTTCTCGTGTGTTGTTGTTGTTGTTTAATGTCTAATACATGTACTTATATTCGTGAGTAGACTGTACTGAGCAGGATTTATGAAGAGGCTTTTGAAGTGTCTTCATCACTCTGTGTAATTGTACCCATTTTGTCATCAAGCCCTTCCTTTTTGGTTACTTCAAGTAATTTTATCGAACGGTGATGCTGAGATATGATTGGCCTATTTTTGATAGGTTTCAGGTCAACAAGTTATTTTTAACCGTTTAAATGTAATCATTGTTTGGCACAACGAGATGACTCTGTTGTTTGCACTGTTGCAGCAGGTCACAGTTCCCAGAAAAGCAAATAAACATGAGCATACAGCCACCTCAGACTCTGTTCGACAGTAACCTCCCCGCAACTCGCACTTCACATGTAAACAACATTATCTCAGACTAACATGGACGTCAGTGTTATGCAGAGACAAAAGGTTGCCGTTGTCTCTGTGGTTTTTAATGCGAATGTCCCCGCGGTTACAGCTTCAGTCTACTTATTTTACAGTGCAGTTGTTTCAGTCTAGGATATGATTGCTGGAAATGACGATGATTGAGATGATGTGGCTGAAGATGAGAAGTAGGAGGGGTTGTAGGAGCAGACACGGTTGATTATAAACAATGAATTTTGACCACATCAAATAACAATACTTTGAGCTGCCATCAGTGCACAAATCCACTTCAACGTGACGCCTGACTTACGAACCGCCTGCGTGTCCGCAAAATATTGACTGGGGCCTAATTGATTTTTATTCAATAAAATCAATTAAATGTGCCACAGTTTGGGACGAACATAAATACTTCCGATTCATCTACTAAACCTCCTCCAACCCATCACACAGCAGGCATTACCACCTTTTTCTGCATTTTCTATATATTTTGCACATTTCCTGCGCCTCGCTTTGCTTTGACTACAAAGCTGTAGCGTGACATCATAATTTTGTTGCAATATTTCAAACATTTATGAGTATTTCTAAGAACGCTTATATTAATGAGCAACAGTACTTCTTTCGGAGAGCACAAGGTTAAATGCTTTAATGCAAAATAAGTTGCCGCTTACTTGCAGTTCAGTGTGTGCGGCGGGGGAATTCCTGCTTTCCCTCCTCGTCACGTCACACAGCTGCTGAAGTCCTGCAGTCATCCACTCCGTGCTCGTCGTGACGCGTGCCGTGTTGTAACGTGTTGTTAATCCTTGTTACTGTTATTGTTGTATGTCGCAGGGTTTCGGACTCTTCGTGTGCTCCTATCACAGGAGTCAGAACCTAATTCGTGTATTTTCAGGACTACGGACAGAGGCTGCGGCTGTCTTCTACCCCCTCCTTCCGCACACACGTGATCCTTGCGTCAAGGTCCCCATTGACGTCAATAGACTGGATTTCATTCATAAGATTTTTCTGCACCCCACCGACCTTATCTTATCCCTCCTCCCCTATTTTATCAGACCAATTAGCTGCAGTGCTGCTGTTGAATAAACAGAATATTCGTAATTCATGGTGCAACCTCAGAGAGCTGGTCCAAGCTTTCACGGGCAAACCTGAGTGCAAGAGGGAACATTTGGGGTTTTCTTTAGACATAGACACGCTTATTTCTGCGGCTGTCTCACGTTTGTGTGCCATCAGAGCTTAAGGATGCTGTGCACTGGTGTGTGACAATGGAGGCAAAAATAGCTCTCCTAATAAGCTGTGAAAGGGCTCAGTTTTAGTAAATAAATAAATTTATTTTTCATGGATCATCATCTCCATCCTGCTGTTCACTGGTGCAATTCTGCATTCATCAGCGTCTCCAGTTTTGTGTTAAAATGTCTGGTTAAGTCCACTGCCCTCTCTTAGATATTTCCGCACTGCTACAGCTGCATCATCTGAACCTTTCATTCAGTGGTGCTGGTTTCAGTTATTGTGCAAACGTACAGTTTTTAAGTTTGGGGAAACCTGCAGTCAGCTGAGACATCATCTGTTCCTCCCACTGAAAACATCCAGATGAACAGAATCAACTTTTGGGGAACTTTTCTACTCTTCATTATTTTCATAGTTGCCTCAACTCCCTCTTAATAGTGTATGAATGTGTGTGTGAATGGGTGGATGACTGGATATGTAAAGCGCTTTGGGGTCCTTAGGGACTAGTAAAGCGCTATATAAATACAGGCCATTTACCATTTACCATTTAATTAATCTTCTGCACTTCCTGTTTCCAAGCGTACGCTCTCTGTCTAGCCAATTCATAGAAGTCCAATTCTCCTTCCATACTGTCCAATCTCACGCGCAACACACTTTTTCTTTTCCACCTTTCTTTTTGCAATGCACGTGCCCTACCAGTGTTCCTGGCTACTTCTCCTTCATCTCATAGACTGTCCAACTTTTTTATTACCACTTTTTATTTGCATAACGCCAAGTCACAACCGTTGCCTCACGGTGTCGTTATGTACATTTACTTTTAATACCATTGATATTTGGACTGCTTTTCTCCATCATCTGCCTCCCTTGGTCACATTGCAATAAGCTGTTGATGGCTTCTCATGATGCATCATCATGGATTCATAATCTTCATTTAAATGCTTGCTCACAAGGGGTCACATGATTACTGGAGTTTTCTCTGTTTTCTTTATACTCTATGTATAGTTTCTTCACCTTCTAATATAAAGTATTTGCTCAAAGAGGCTCGTCTCGTTTTCTCTGTATTATTGTAAAGTTTTTTGCTTACAATATAAAGAGTATAAATCAGCTTGAAATATAAATGTCAAAGAATAAAACTGATGATGTGCCAACTAAAAAATATCCAATCCAATGTTTGTTCAAAACGTATCATCACTCAGTGATCACTACAACTACATTTTCTCTAAATAATACAAGATAAAATTCATCAGTTCTCAAAGTTTAGCTCTGTCAGTTAACCTTTATTAACACCAGGTGAAGAGTTCCTGTTATGAATCTGGATGACAAGCATAGTTTTTGAAAGTGCGTAGACTAGTCTTCTAGTTTTTTGTTAGCAGTTTAATCTCACAGTGGTTGGGCATGCTAGTCTTTACAGGTATCTCTGCAATATATCAATGCAGGAAACCCGCAGTCAGCTGAGACTGAAGATGTCACTTGGATGAAGGACGAAACATTTCTCCATCTGAAAACGCTACGTCCAGATGAACAGAATCAACTTTTAGTGTATTCGCACCAACAATCACACCCAAGGCCAATTTGGAATCACCAATTAACCCAGTGGTTCTCCATCTGTGGGGTGTATAGCTACTGGACGTGCACAACTAGTGAAATGTGAAAATAAGAATGTTTTTTAGGTAAACAACAGTTGTCATTGTTCTGAACTTTACTAAACTTGAAACCTTTTCTTTTACTTGCCAGTCAGGGTAATTATTATAATTCTTAACTATTGGGATTCTTATCTAAGTTAAACTGCGCCATTAAAGTTTTAAGTTGCATCTCTATATATTTCATATAGCTCCACTTGCCACACAGATGCATCTGTATGTGCAAGGGTGTGGATTTCTGTGCCACTTTGAAAGTGGTGTGTGGAGTGACTACGCTGACCTGTCGTCAAATGACAGAAGACTACAGGATATTTCTGACTGCTGGACCATTCAACCTAGAGCCTAATATAACTGTACATTTGGAGAGACATGAAAAACATTTCCCCCTTACCCCCACCAACCCAACCACTGAGTGCTTTTGACTTTTACACAGGAAAGAAGAAAAAACAAAAACTGGACCATATAGTAGAACTACAGATCTATGGTAAATAAATAAAGAGCAAGCTCCATCACTTATTCTTTTACAAAAAAGGTAAATAAACTCCTAATGTGGGCCTTTTGGGTTTTTTTTCTTTATATATTTTGGCCACACATTGTGGAATATAGAGGATTTTGCCCAATTTTACACTGGACTGAATCAAAAATACACACATTTCATGCTGTGTGTTAACAGTGCTAACTGAATCACACTTGTTGTGATTTACCTCTTCAATATAAATACCTTTCAACAGAATTATGAAGGAAGATGGATTGAGTATATTGTATAAAAGACTTTAAATGCAGAATGTTTGTCCAACTCTTAGACACCCCTTTTCAGAAATGTTTATTAATCCCACCAACTCAGACTAATTTGTGTGATTACAAGCAGATGCATTCAAATTCAAAGGGAAAAGTAAACAAAGTTAGAAACATTGTTCCAGCTCATAAAATATTCCTGCTGAGACAGTATAACGAGCTAAGATTTATTTTAAACAAGCAAACAAACCAGAGAATCTTAAGCCCGACCATTTTAACATAATTTCCCTGGAAAATAAATCCAAGGTGATGAGGTGATGATACACGTCCTAATAATCCCATAAAAAAACATAGACACTGCAGCACCTTAGGGGGGCGTGCTCCATTTTGACCCCGAGACTTCCAGGCCATACTCAGCACAGATGTTTCTGTATCCTATGCCAGCCACTTGGTTATGGCGTTCCATGTATGTCCTGTTTGCTAGCATCTAGCACCCTGTTGTTATATGTGCTCAGGGGCATCTTTGCACAGCCCGCCCTTGGGGTCTTGCCTTGTGTGATAGACCGTAAAGTCTAGTGCTCAGAGTGTGTTCCTGCACTGCCATGATTAGTGCCTTTCTCTCAGTTCACCTTTGTCCAGCCACTGGTAGGATTTCTGGACATCAGCCACTTCTTCTGCCGGCCGTATATACCATGCAGGGTCCTGTAGATCCATGATGCTCCTCTTCTCAAATTTCTGCTGCCTGAGATATTAACTAACCACACTCTCAGTTGTGGCCATCTTCCTGAAGTACTTGTGGATGTTCATTGTCTCATCCTGGGTTGCAGTTCTGACACTCACTAGCCTTGGCCACCTTCCTCCTTCTTAGTGTACAGTCTTAGGGTGCTGCATGCATGTCAGTGGCTTCTATCTCCTCTTTTGGGCAGCTTATTTCATGGTTCGTTCCTATTTGTCTATGGGACTACCCCCTCTCCCTTTTCTTTTAACGATCCAACTACACTTCTCAAGTCCAAATGGGCTGGAAGTAGCCTGCATATGATTATATCCGGCCCTAGATAATTTCACGTCAGTTATTGATGGTCCTCAGTAGAAACAGAATCTTCGGCCCTGCGGAGAAGCCATGCAGGCAGGGATGGGACTTTATTCCGATGGGCAATCTGGGATCATATCATTATGTTAAAATAGGAAGGGGGCAGACGTTACAAAGACAACAAGTGTAGTGGTACAGGCTTAGTACACAGAGACAAGGGTGCCGGATTTAAACGCTAAGGTGTTGGGAAAAATGAGTGAAAAAAGTAAACTAAGCAGCACTTGGCTGCATTTTAAATAATACTGAAGACTGCTGAGTGCAGAATCTATCAAACTAGGAGCTGGCTAAAGTGACACCAGATTTTATTTTCAGCCATTTGCCATTATGGAGGACAAAAGGTTTCAAACTTGTCCAGGCCTTAAAGCTGATGTGTGCTCTCCCATATAGTAATAAATGCATAAAAAATAAGGCTTTTCTGAAAACAATGAATAGAAAAGTCTCACAGGCCAGAATACATGCTTCAAGCCATTTATAATTCTTACCCTGTTTGATCTGTTGCTCACCACAAACAAGCACAAGAAAAATTTGTTACCCTAAACTTTAGTTGCATAAGTTTTACAGCTTTCCCCACTGATAAAAACGCTTCATACTACACAAAATAATTAAGCAAAAACAACTGAATGAAAAAACAACTAAACGTATATCAAAAAAAATGGAGTCTGAGCAATGAGCTACCAGAACTTTACACATTTATTTCTTACACTGAAAACCAAAGAGTCATGCTGACAGATTTGTCACAGCAGCTTTTTCTTTACCATCTAGAAACAGTTCAGAATCAGAATCAGCATACTTTATTAATCCCTAAGGAAATTATGTAAATATGTAACTTCTTTACAGTGACGTTGAGTTTCACTAGTCCAGCCCCTTAAGATCAACATTTGCTGTAGATCCTGGTGGTGTGGATCAGTGAACCAGTGTCTCCTTCACTCCTGGCATACAGCTTGATATCATCCGTGTAGAGGAGGTGGCTAATAATTGCTTAAGTCCTTGGCCAGCCTGTTTGATGATCTGGCTGACGGGGGTTCAGGCCTATGCAGAACAGTAGTGTGGGGCAGAACATCTCCTTGGTAAATCCTGCACTTGAAGCTGACCTCTAGTGTTCGCCAAATCCCCATCAAATTCCTTATGGTCCTGTCTTGTACAGTCAGAGGAATCCCAGGATCCATGAGTGAGGCACTGAGTCATAGGCTTTCTTATGGTCAATCAAGGGAGTGCACAGGTTGGTCAGTCTT